AAACAGTTCAATAGATATCGTGAGATACGCAACAATGAGAGCCAGCCTTTAGTGGACCCAAACTTTGGACGGTACTCCTTTTCAAATTATTGGAAGCATATTTTTCTAGATTGCAACGGTCGCTGATATTTCAAAGGTCAAAAAATCAAATGAGTTGGGAAAAAGAAGTCATATTTATTCTCAGAAATATCGATTCAAGTGTCGTTTTTGGTAACTTAAATTATCGTCTGCCTAAATATTTTTGCATATTTAAGCTTACTGTCTCATAAACCATTAAGATTCTACCAAAGTAAACCCGATCAGTAAATCAAAATCATATTTTAACCATGTATGGAACTGTCACATCAAAAACATGAAAAAATTGCCAGCGTATATTGGTAAAACTATTACTAATCTTGCTTTAAATACCACATTGGATGTTGTGTTTGAGGTCAAATATTAAGTTCTACTTTTCTTATATATAATTCATAGCATATGTTTCAAAGCATATGTTGAAAAGAAAATATCTTAAAAGAAAAATCATTTCATTTCGTAAATATGTTTTAAATATAGACTATTATATCTTAACAAAAGAACTGTTGGAAACTAGATTTTTGGAAATCGCTTTTAAAGAATAGAAAAAGATTGGTATAAAATATTGATTCGAAGAATAGAAAAATAACTTTATAAGCATTCTAAACTATTAGTTATTTCTGCCATCATTCTTTTACATTAAAAAAAATTGAAGATAATATAGATTTAAGAAAGATAATTATTACTGAAAGTTCAAATGACCGAACTTACTTCCTATTTAAATACGTTAAAATGAATGCCTTTTCAGACTACGCTGACAATTCCGTTTATAAATGATTCTATTGTTTTAAAAGGGATATTACGGAACTGTAGGGATTACTCGACGAAAATAAGAAACAAACACTCTCAAATTATAAAAATAAAACCAAGTATTTCCATTTGAATAATACGCTAACTAAAATACTAATTACATTATATGTTTGATATCATTGAGTCAATTTAAAATTTTCTTTCAGAAGGCAAAAGCTCTTAAATGAAATAAAACAATAAAGAGTATATAAACACAAATTCAAGACATTTTCTTTTGGTCAAAGCTATAATTTATAAGTTGGATCGACTATTGTTAATTACTGTAAATATTTATATGTTAACATTGATTCAAATATGTGTATACAGATAACGTAAGTGAAGTAATATAATAAACTATACTACAAACTACACAATTTTAATTTTTCGTGATTATCATTCTTGTATTTTGACAGTTTTAGTACACTGTTAGAATTTTCATTCTAAAATTATGGTAAAATAACCGGTAGCAGTCTGTCTATCCGATTAACCATATAGTTTACGGTAAAGAATATTTTTCACCTTTACGGTTTTGAAACCGTTTGCAACTAATAAGGCTATGAAACCATGAATACAAAAATATACGGTTTTCAACCATTTACAGCTACTATGGTTTCAAAACGGTATAAAAAGGCATTTAACTGTACATAGGAGCTAGGCTTATCATTCGATAATGGAAGGACAGGACATTTGAAATTCTTCATGTGTTAAACGGAATGAAGGTGCCAAAGCTGGGACTCGAACTGTCGGTCATGAGATTGAACAGATTAGCCCTCTCGGCTATAATGTGCAGGGAATCAAGTTGCTTCATCAGGTGGACATAGTCGATGCGATAAAATTCTGGTTATTTAAGCGTTTTATGTAAAAACAGTTAATAAACGATTTTTCTCATTATTAATAGTTTGATTACCATGTTATTTAAGGTTATTCGACTCTTTAGTTTAAATATGGTAAAATAACAATTAAATAGATAGTTATTTAGCCATTTTCTTCCGAGAAATTTCTAACAGTGTACTGTTTTAATCAATTTTTTGACACATTTTATGTCAACAACCCCCATTTAACCATGTCAACAACCATTTTATGTCAACACGTGAAAACTTTATTTAACTTGTAGGTTGCAATCAAAAATTTATTCATGCTGGCAAAAAGAAGTTGAAAGTCCAAAGAATTTTGTCGGAAAAACAAAATTGCTTTTTCTGCGTAGTCTGATTTTTTCAAATAAAAATATTTTTCCATACAGTATTTTTAAGTGTTCCAATCGCTATAGAAATTCTTTATAGAAGTACGTAAATAGAATAGCAAACTCGTACACTTTTCAACATTTTTATAATATTTTTGAAAGCGAACCAGTAAAAAAAGAAAAAAATTAAAAATAGTTTGCTTGTTTAATTAGTATACTTAATTAGTATTTATTTAATTAATTACTTAATTAGTATTTATTTAATTAATTACTTAGTAGTATACTTAATTAGTTGCTTAATTAGTATTGCTTACTTAATTAAAAATAGTTTGAAACTTAATTATAAATGTTAGTATTAATAACCATATGTAAACACATTACTAATTACTTACTACCTATTTCTCAAAGGTATATTAAAAGAGCTTTTCTTTCTGACGTCATTGGGGTAGTGGTCATGCTCCAAAGTTAAGCCAATGACGGCTACTGATTCCCCAATGACGTCAGAAAGAAAAGTTCAAACAGTTCTACATATGTAGTTAAATTTAGTGGAAGTATTTTGTTTTAAGCATCAAAGTTACTTAAATATTGCTTTGAGGAACATTTACAAATCTAAAAAAATATATTCGATTGTTTAATATACTGTGATAAGCAAAAATATCTTCATACCAGACATTTCATGAATAACTCATTTTTTTTTTCGAAATATTTTCTCAATTTGAACTCAATAAACGTGATGCATATTGATTCAGTTCTAAAAATAATAATTAACTATTAAGAAAGAGATCTTATAGATAGGCCATAACCATCTTTTGAATAATCCAAGAACTTACCGAGATTTCATTTCAGTATTAATAGCTAAAATTTCTCTTTAGAGGATGATCTAGTCAAAGTTTCCCCTCAGGGTTAATACTTATAATTTTGCTGCAAATTGATAGCTAAAATTTCCCTTCAGTTTAAATTTTCAAAAGTTTCCCTTTAGTATTCATGATTATAATTCCATATAAGAGTGATAACTAAAATTTTTCTACATAAAAAGCGAGCTAAATTTTTTAGGCTAGATAGAAAATATTTTTCTTTAAGATAAGATGGCACAAATTTCCCTTTTGGAAAACTTAGCTAAAATTTATCTTTAGCTTTCATGTAAAATACTTATTTTTTATTTGGGTCATTCAATTTTTTTGTAAATTTTTTTAACTTAGAAATATAAACTGTCAACGTGAATAATATTCTACGTTTAATTAATAATTAAAAATAAGTAGTTGATTTTAAATATAATATTTTAAATTTGCCTGAAGTTTACATTTATTCTCAAAAAGCTTCATCAAACAAACACTTTAATTCTTTTTTGTTGAAAATAAATGAAAAGAAATTCTGAAAGTGAAATATTTCCAATATTTGTGCTAATTAAGAAGACACATTTTTGTTTCTTTAAACATTGTTTTCAGTACATTAAAATAATTTAAAGATAAAAATAAATAAATTGTATTTCTATAATATTTAAATTTATTATGTATAATATATATATATAGGATAAAATTTCAGTCAGTTCATTTTATTTTTCCATACATAAAAATAATTTAAATAGAAAAATAAATTATATTTTGTTAAATATTAAATACAAGAAATCTTGTATAAGAAATTCTATTCTATATTTGTGTTAAGCAAGAGGCCACGTTTTTTTTTCTTCATTCTATTAAAATATTTTAAAAGAAAAGTCGAATATGATATCATACCTTTTGTTAAGGATTAAAATAAAGGAAATCATGCACTAGAAATTTTGTCCTATATTAGTGTTATTCTAGAAGATACATTCCCCCCTCCTCGACACATTTCCTTTTTAAATACATTAAAATAGTTTAACGATACAAATATGTGATATTTTTTGTGAAGAATGAAATCCTAGAAATCATGTGCTATAAATTTTATATACTGGACTATCTATCTTTTTATCCAAGATCCAAGTTTTTTCCACGTATATTTTTCATTTGCCTTTTCCATACATTTAAATATTTAAAAAAACAATACAGTATTAATTATTTCTTGTTGAGGATGAAATAAAATAAATCATGTACCATAAATTTTATCCTATATTGAGTTAGTTCAGAAAACACGTAGTTTTTTCTTCTAAGTATATTTCTAGACTCTTTTGCAATTTCAACACATTAATTTATTTTGACAATGTAAGGCAAATGTGTTAACTTTTTTTTCAGGAAAAAATAAAATAAATCACGCATTAGAAATATTAACCTATATTAATTTTATTTTAAAAAACCACATGTTTTTCTCTCATATTTATCAACACATTAATCCTTTTCATACATTAAAGTAATTTAAAAAGCAAGAAAAATATTTGATAACTATTTTTGTTAAGGATAAACAAAATTTCTAATGCATTTGTTAAAGATAAAATCAAATAAATCATGTACTAGAAATTTTAATCTATATTAGTTTCATTATAGAAGCAATATTTTCCGGAAGACGACATTTTTTTCCTAAGTATATTTATTTCTAAACACTTTTGCTTTTTCTGAACAGAAATTTAATTTAAGATGAGGCCAATGTGTCTTCTTTCCTTCTTTTTTTCAGGATAAAATAAAATAAATCATGCATTAGAAATTTTAACCCATATTAGTGTTATTCAAGAAGTGTTAGTTTTATTATAGAACCAAGACTTTTCTCCAACATTCTAAAAACGACAAATATGTTAACTATTTTTGTCAATAATTATATAAAAAGAAAAAATCAGGATTCGAAAAAAGTTTCTCCTACATATTCCGGAAACACGTTTTTCCCCCAACACATATTCTCACAACATATTTGCTTTTTCCGCACATTCTTAAACATATTTTCCTTAAAAACAAATTTTTTTTCTTGTTGACAATTCCACCTGGTTACATTGTTTTGTAACATATTCAAAACATATAAAAAAAATAAGAGAAGAAAAAAGAAAATTGCTCACCTGTAAGAGAAAAGAAAATAAGTGAGTCAATTTCTGGAGTGATTCCGGGGATCTTTCCAGCGAACAATATTTAGTTTAAAGGAGTAGATTTCGAAAACACGACTTTTGTCTCCTTTGTCGGGAAATAACAGAAAAGATCTTCGGCCGCCCCAGGAAACTCCTCCTCTTCTTATGCATTCCCTTTGAACGGGGGCGCCCCCTGTGGGTGGAGGGGGGGATCGATAAACACCTCCCCCTTGTTGTCATTACATTCTGTCCCTCTTCTACCCCCTCATACAGCCAAAACCGCCCCCACTTTTATCCAGATACGCATCCCGCTTTTTTTTTTTTTCCTGATTCTTGGAAGAAAGCGTTGCTTCTTTTTTTTTTAGGCAAATAATTCTGTAAAAAATGTTTAAAAGTAGAATATGAGAGTGGAACTTAAACGGTAATTTGAGTTTTTGTGCAATTTTATTTATTTATTTTTTCTTTTTCTGAAGCAAAAAGAAGTATTTTTTTTTTAATGGTTAAAAGCGGTTGATGTGTAAAGCACGAAGAAACCCTTTTTGGAATTTGATACCGCTTGAAATAATATTCGGCAGAAATATTAAAAATAATAAAATCTTCACTTCGTAAAATTTTTTTTTCTAAAATTATTCCAATTACAAAATAGCTGAGAGCCAGAGCAAAAGTAAATAAGGAGAGCGTCGATTTATCACGTGGTATTTTTTTAGACCACGCAATTTCCAAAAATGGAAAGAAAATGGCTTTTTAATGAAAAATGAAAACTTTTATTCCCCTCACTGTAATTATGAACGATCTTTTTTATTTTTTATTTATTTCTCTATTTATTTATCTCCATATTCATTTTTTCGTAAAAAGAAAAAAAAAAACATTTACTCACCTAGAATTTATAAGAATTTCAGATCGCGCAATTTTCAAAATAGAAAAAAAAAGCATTTTGATGGAACACTCTCCCCACTGTAATTGTGCGTCGTCCTTTCTTTATTTCTATTATTTATTTATTTCAAGAAAAGACACATTTACCCTACGTAGAATTCGAACAGGTGATTCATCCCCCCCCCCAAAAAAAAACTACCCTATTTTCCGGTCCCTTAATACATATACCGAATGTGCAAAAAAGGATGAATCATAATCTGTGGAGGTCAGTTACGAGAATATATTACGAAGTTAATGCAAACCCATTCTAACATTCGAGTTTTTTTAATTTTTTTATAATAACTATTATAGTATATATGTTACTGTAAATGACAAAAATGGGTGGTTGTTGAATTCCACCGTCGAATGTTGACAATCAAATAGTTGCTTTGGTAAATGTCCGAATTATATGGTAGCTCTAATTAAGTACCACTGCCCGGTATACATTTGCACGGTATACCCTACAATATATTTTTTTTTCGTCAAGTGCCACTGCCCAGTATGCATTTAACCGAACACTGATGTTTCTCCTAATCTATCCTCCACAGATTATTAAAATAGCGAATAAATATAATAATATCCACAAATATAATAATATCAACGAATAAATCAATATCAAATCGGATATAACAAATATTTCGGNTTTTGGAATTTGATACCGCTTGAAATAATAATCGGCAGAAATATTAAAAATAATAAAATCTTCACTTCGTAAATTTTTTTTTCTAAAATTATTTCAATTACAAAATAGCTGAGAGCCAGAGCAAAAGTAAATAAGGAGAGCGTCGATTTATCACGTGGTATTTTTTTAGACCACGCAATTTCCAAAAATGGAAAGAAAATGGCTTTTTAATGAAAAACGAAAACTTTTATTCCCCTCGCCGTAATTGTGAACGATCTTTTTTATTTTTTATTTATTTCTCTATTTATTTATCTCCATATTCATTTTTTCGTAAAAAGAAAAAAAAAAACATTTACTCACCTAGAATTTATAAGAATTTCAGATCGCGCAATTTTCAAAAAAAAAAAAAAAAGCATTTTGATGGAACACTCTCCCCACTGTAATTGTGCATGGTCCTTTTTTTATTTCTATTATTCATTTGTTTCAAGAAAAGACACATTTACCCTACGTAGAATTCGAACAGGTGATTCATCCCAAAAAAAAAAACTACCCTATTTTCCGGTCCCTTAATACATATACCGTATGTGCATTAAAATTATGAATCATAATCTGTGGAGGTCAGTTAAGAGAATATATTACGAAGTTAATGCAAACCCATTCTAGCATTCGAGTTTCTTTATTTTTATAATATCTATTATAGTACATATGTTACTATTATAGTACATGTAAATGACAAAAATGGGTGGTTTTTGACTTCCACCGGCGAATGTTGACAACCAAATAGTGGCTTTGGTAAATGTCCGAAATATATGGTAAGTCTAATTAAGTGCTACTGCCCGGTATACCCTACAATTTTTTTTTCTTCAAGTGCCACTGTCCATTATGCATTTAACCGGTACTCCGAACACTGATGTTTCTCCTAATCTATTCTCAGCAGATTATTAAAATAGCGAATAAATATGATAATATCCACAATCAAATTAATATCAACGAATTAATCAATATCAAATCGGATATAACAAATATTTCGGACATTCACCAAAGCGACTATATGATTCATCGGTGAATGTCGACATTCTCTTGATTTCGATCATTCACGGTAACATATACTTAATTATTAGTATAAATAATATAAAAGAAAGTGCCATCCACCATAAAAGGTATCGGTCATTAGTGCGAGTTTTATTCAAATAGTAGAATAAGATTTGATTCATTGATACTTCTTTTTTTGTTATTATTTTTTGTTCTTTTATACAAATATTTGCTCTATCGACTAGAATACTGAAAACAATGCTTTACTCAGACACGAAAAATAATGAGAATGTACTTTTCTTTTCAGTTTTTTCTGTTTGATGAGCAACAGGTTGCTAATAAACAATCTATTGGTTACAATTGAAGTCAAAGGATGCTTGCAACATTCCACCTCTCACCTTAAGGCACTTCAAGGTGCCGCGGCACACATTGTGGGAATTAATAAGTGCAATTTTTAAAACTGGCTGATTAAGTTCTTTACTTTTGTTTGTTCACAAGGTATTTAATTTTTTTTTCTAAAAAAATAAGATTTAATTAAATTATTTTTATTAGACAGCCATTGTTTAAAGCAAAAAAAAGTAGAAAAAAGCACTTAAAGTTGCAATTATTTTTCTAAAAAAATTTAATATGGTAAAAACTTATGTTAAAGACATAAATAAAATTGGTTCCCTCAATTCAATTTCAATTGTGCTGGGTTTCGAATACATTTTAATTTTATTCGAACTATCAAATGTTCTCATTTTTGGCATTTCAATGAATAGAATTTCGAGAAGAATATCTTGTTCCCTTTCTTCTAACTGCTAGAAATACTTGAACGATATCTTTTAACCTGTCAAAAGAATGAAAGCTGGCAGTTCAAACTCAAACAAATCCAAACTTATGGATCATTAAGAAGGAGATTATAGAAGAAAATACAACGCTCGCCCACTCTTTCTTGATAATTACTCGAATAAGTTTAAAGCTTTTAAAGTCATTATTGATAAGCGAAATATCAATCTCTGCTTTTACAAATCCCTAAAATGGGTTTTCAGTCATTCTGATCTTTATATATACTTGATTAAAAATATTTTGTCACTTTTAAACTCTCTAAACTATTTTAGTTGATCACAAAAATAAACTAGTAGGTTGATCTCACTTCTCTCATGATTGAACAAGACTTTTCTTATATTTGACCATGATTTTTCCCCAATTTCGAACATTATTTTTTACTATATTCGAACCATGATATCTCCCGTATTCGAACTTGATTTCCCCTATGCTGAAACATAATTTCTTCCAGGTTCAAACATGATTCCTCCCAAATTAGGATACGATCGCTCCCATATGCGAACTTGATTTCTCTCTGGCTCGAACATATTTTCTCCTCTGTTCAAACATGATTTCTCGCATATTTGAACTTGATTTTTCCCATGGTCAAACCTAATTTCTCCCATGTTCGAACATGATTTCTTTTACATTCTGGCAAGATTTCTCCTATGTACGTGATTTTTCCCATATTCGAACACGATTTCTTTCATGTTCGAATATGATTTCCCACATATTCATGGTCAATCTAACATTTAATAAAAAGCGGACTGGTCGGCTTTGCCAGAAAAGGTTACTTGATGAATGTTGTAAAAAACGCCTAAAAACTTCATCCGTTCTGAAAACATTTAGAATTTTTCACTTAGTAGTTTAATCCATTGAAATTTGTAGGATTTAACCTTTTGTTTACGGTGGTTGGCATGCTGAAGGCAATCTGGTCCACTTAGTGTACCAACTGTAAACAAATGGTAAGTGGGTTGACAAAAAAAAGAGAATGCTGCAAATTTAAATTAGAGTAGGGAAAAGTAGGGTAACACCGGGTAGCTAAGATTCGAAGACCTGTTTGAGATAAACTGTTCGACAAAGAAAATGTCTGATTTAATCAAGACATTCATTGTTTAGTCGTGTACAAATATCCATTCTGAAAAGTCTTAGATCTACTAAATATTTAGGGAATTTTTTTTAATTAGAATAAGTCAAATAGAGTAAAACCGAGTCTTACCAAACCGAGTAAAACAGAGTACAAATTTTTTATTTTATTTATTTATTTATTTATTTTTATTATATAACCGTCGTTGAACAGCCGACCCAATTTTTGGGTTTACAACTACTAATGGTCAACGGCGTAGTGTTATCATTTTGAGCCTAGTCCAGAAGACAAGGAAACTCCTGGATGAAGTATTGGGAGAAATGTACCTTCGTGGAGGACTTCTTGATGAAACTAACCCGCATTTGGGTTACATGGAGAGGAAGACCACGTGAATCTCCCACGGTTAGCCTGAGGACAAGGGGGCTCTAACCCATGATCCGTCTACCACTGAGGATGCTTCACGACAGCATTGTGGTCGGATAAAGCCTGATACGGATTCGTATCTGGTGGGATTCGAACCCGGTTCACCTCATTGGAAGGCGAACGCTTTATCCCCTGAGCTATCACGGTTCCGAGTACGCACGTTAACTTTATGGGAAGTGTGGAAATGTGTAAATAAAAAATATAGATTTCAGCGAAAAAGTAGCAGACATTGTTATTTACGACAGTCAAAGAAAATTATGCATGTAATTTACATGTGTTGTTGTATAA